CCTGGCTGGTTATTATATACCCTGACACCAGAGGCAGCGGTGGGGGGTCAGGAAGAGGCCGTTAGTCTTTGGAAAAGGTCAAGGTCAGGGTGTGGGCGAGCCCTTATCAGGAACTTACTGCTCCAGTAAACATTACTTACAGGCAATGGATTGTTTTAGTAAACATGTTTTTAGTAAACATGTCTTCTCTGCGGGGGTTACAACTGCCTGTGCTCCCAGGCTGATGGGGAAGTGGGCCTCCAGCCAATGTCTGTTGTTCCCACAGAATCTAACTTCTCATTTAATTCAGAAATGGAAATGTTTAATACCATCTGATCCTGATCAACTTGTCTACTTAGTTTGGAAAGCATCAGAAGAGGCACATTTAGTGAAGCCATTGCTGCATGCCCACCATGCAGTCTCAGGGGCTCAGTAATGTTGTTATCCTGATGACATTAATTTGGCTACCCCCAGTCATAGTGAGTTCTATCAGTCTGGTGAGTTCCTATCCCTATGTAGTATGTAAGGGGCCAGGTGTTTAAACATAACCCATAATTCTGGCCAATTTCTGGCTAGGAATGATTAACTCCATCCCCAGGTCTCCTTGCTATATAGAGTCTGAATCTGGAGGTTTTGTGTGTGTGTGTGTGTGTGTGTGTGTGTGTGTGTGTGTGTGTGTGTGTGTGTGTGTGTGTGTGTGTGTGTTCCAAAGGCCAGAATCTTGTTTATAGGCTTCAGTTTCACAAACCTAATTTTTGTAATGGAGACTCCCTTGTCTCAGGCAACCAGAATCATAGACTGTATTTCTATATGAATATAAACCTCCATATCTTTCCTTTCTTTAATACAACCAGACATTTAAAGTGGGCTTCTTTTTTTGTTTGTTTGTTTTTGTTTTTGTTTTGTTTTTGTTTTTCGAGACAGGGTTTCTCTGTGGCTTTGGAGGCTGTCCTGGAACTAGCTCTTGTACTAGCTCTTGTAGACTAGGCTGGCCTCGAACTCACAGAGATCCACCTGCCTCTGCCTCCCAAGTGCTGGGATTAAAGGCGTGCACCACCAACGCCCGGCTAAAGTGGGCTTCTGTTGCTAGAGTTTTTCTTTTGTTCCACCAGGTCCTGCTACCCTTCAGCCCCAAAATAAGCACACAGAGACATATATTAATTATTAAATTGTTGGCCAATAACTAGTGCTTCTTATTAGATAGCTCTGTCTTAATTATTAGCCCATTTCTATAAATCTATGTATTTCTATGTGGTCTTGGCTTACCAGAGAATGCCCAGACCTGTTACTCCTTTGGTGACTACATGGCGTCTCCTTGCAGTCTCTCTCTGCCTACCTTTCCCAGAATTCTTATCTCCTAGTCCTATTTCCTGCTTCTATTGGCTAGACACTAAACAGTGTTTTATTCATCGACCAATAAGAGAAGCATCCCCATCAGGCTTCAGAGAACAAAGGTCAAAATGAATATGAGTTGCTGATCTGCAGTCAAATTAGGTAATACCTTCTCTGTGTCTGTCTTTCTTAGTTCCCAGGTTCAGGCCTAAGGCCTGTGGAGGTTGGAGCATGACCCTGTGTATTCATGCCAAATGTAAGACTGGGAGGAGTTTGAGGAATATGAAGTGGAAGGGCTTGGGGACCCAAAGAGACATTAATTTTCATGGATTCCATGTCCAGAGACACTCCATTTGGCAGCATCTGCAGTGTCTGCTTTCTTGACCTGGATGTAGTGGGTCCATGGTATAATGCCAGCTATCTTCACTGCCACAGGAATGGAAAGAATCACTTTTTAGGCTCCTTTCCAGGTTAGGTCTAGTGTCCTTACCTACTCGCTTGACCTAGACAGTATCATTGCACTGGAACAAGGGGAAACTGGTGGTAGACTCAGGGTCACCTGGGTTTCTTGGATAGCCAATGAATAACCATTATGGTGGAGTGGAGTACCTTGAAAAAATAAAGTTGTGCCAACTCTTTGTCTCTGATCCTGAGAAACAGACCTGGGGGGGCAGTTCTCAAACATAATCTTATAGGGGGTAAATCTCTCCCTATATGGTCCAAATTACTTCAATTAATGGAACTGCTGATCCTCCAAGGTACCTGGTTTCATTTTATCTCCTGAAAGTCATGGATGAGTATCTGTGTCATGCAAAAGGGTAGCTGAATTGATGGCAGTGGGTTTCTCAAATTAGACTTGGTTGGGTCAGTAGTAGGGTCTGGTGCTCATCAGATGAGGGCCTCAACCACATCATGGTTTACTGTCAATATAAGATCTTGACTGAGAGTTAACTTGTTTGTTTTTTTCATTAAACTAGCAGTACCTGCCATTGCTTTTAGACAGGTGGACCAACCTGTGGCTATCTGTCCAATCATTTGGACATTTATCTCACAGGATATTTCCATGGCCCCAAAGCTTGAGTTAAAATCCCTTTTGTCTTTTGTTTCATTGAAACACAGATGAAAAGATTTGGAGACGTATGGAAATTCTATGACTGGTGCAGAAGTCAGAACTGTTTTTAAAGCTTTAAATGCCTTTGTTTAGACTTAGCCCAAAATAGGGGCTCAGAGCCCACTTTTGTGCCACTCCTACAATCTCTAATATCCAGAGGATGCAATGTTCATCTGCTCTGAGGAACTCTTGAACCTATTTCTTAGTCTTCAGTGTTGGGATCTGAAGCATGGCAGCAATACTTCTCTGAGGCAGTAATTTCAGTATTTCTCTGTTTACTTTTGTCCTGATGGCCTGTCCATTATTGAAAGTGGGGTATCAGCACCTCCCACTATCAGCGTGTGAGGGTGTGAGGGCCAATATTTGATTTAAGCTGAAGTAGTGTTTCTTTTACAAATGAGGGTGCCCTTGTGTTTTGAGAGTAACTGTTAGAAATTGAAATGTCATCATGGTAGCAGTGCCCTTCCCCATCTCTTTTCAAGTAATTTTGGTTTGAAGAGCCTTGCATGCATTTTATACATTTATGAGCATATTGGATGGGCAATGGGGTCACATTTTCCCCTGTGGGCTATGGACCAAGCCAAAGTGCTTCACACATGATGTGCTGATAGTCTGCCACTGAGTGATATTTTAGAGAGAATTTCCTTGAGCCAGTCATAGTGACTCACAGTCCCAGCACTTGAAAAGTTGCAGCAGAAGGATCACCATTAGCTTGAGGCCAGACCTGAACATAGACTGAGACCACACTCCAAAAACACAAAACAATTTTGTCATTATAGGACCAAGATCTCGTATTGGACGTGCTGTGCAAATTCTACAGTGTGTTGTTGGGAAATAAAATGCAGAGTTTTTCTAGGCCAGTGGGAGACCAAGTGGTGATGATGCCTGTTACAAGGTTAGACTTTCCATTGGCTAGGGTTAGAAGATTTTAAAAATGAATGTCATTTTCACTGTATTTTTGCCCTTCTCCATGAATTCACAATATATCTTTGTATTGTAGTTTGATTTAATTAGTACATTGAATTGAGAGAGCATGAGAGCTCACATCTGTCATTTAGTATTTTGGAGGCAGATGCAGGAAGTTCAAGTCTTCCTCTTCAAGACAAATATGTCTTCTTCTGGTAATAACATTCAGAAACTGAAACCATATTGTCCTTGAACAGTTTCTAGGGGCTGGAAATATGGCTCAGTGGAAAGTGGGCATATGAAATTTGCAGAATACTGAGTTCAGTTCCCACACCCAGGTTGCCATTTCTGTCACCTATGACAGATTTGTGGCCTTCCATAACACTCTAGTAACTTGTGTCCCATATATTTTGCTCTACTTTCTCCTGGGACATTCTTTTGTGATTCTTTTTGTGTTTCATTTCTAAGAGCATTATGCCCAGACTACCCTCAAACTTCCTATGTCCCCAAGAATAACCTTCAGCTTCTGATCCTACTACCTCTACCTCTCAAGTGCTGTGATTACAGGCATCCCAGCCCTTATTCTCTTTATGGAACACGAGTTGAAATGAGGGATGCATGCGTGCTAGGCAAGAATGCTACCAACTGAGGTACATCTTCGGCCCCCTTTTTCTCTTTGATTTATTAGGATATTAACTATAATTTTTCTATGTATGACTGTTCTGCCTAATTACATGCCAGTGTACACTTTGTAGGCCTGGTGCCCATGCAGACCAGAACGAGTCAAATCCCTTAGGGCTATAGTTACAGACGGTTGTGAGTGACTATCACTTGTCTGCCTGGTATTTACTGATGTCAGAAGAGAGCTTTGAATTGTCTTGACCTGGTGATACTAATAGTAAACACAAGTGAGTGCAGAGAACTGATCTAGGACCTCTTCAGAAGCAATGGGTTATCTTGTCTGTTGACACATCTTTATAACTCCATCTTTTTTTATTATTTTTTTTACAATCAGTGTTTACTAATGTTTTTGAGAACTCTTTGATCTGTCAGTCAGTAACTTACTAAACATGCATTCCTTCCTAGGAATTATTAACCTTCCAGTTTACTAGGTGTCACTCTAATTTATGATTGAGAAGTATAGAATTGGGTGAATGTTTTAACTCTATGGAGGACTTTAGAGTGAGCTTCTGAGTGCTTTCAATGTGTTTGTCTGTTTGAGACAAGTTCTCACTATGTACTCTGGCTGTTCTGGAAAGCTCTACACAGACCAGGCTGGCTTAGAAATCACAGAGTATCACATGTCTTTGCCTCCTTAGGTTTGGGATTAAAGGTTGGCACCACCAATACCCACATTATCTATCCTTTTTTGAAGTTAATAATTTTGATAAAATTTTGCTGATGTACAATAGTGTTAATCAGTTTGCATGTCTGTCTGTACATATTACTAGGCATTTCTCCTGCAATGCCTATTATATTTTATGGGCACAGAAATGGAAGGCATAAGTTTTCTGTTTCTCTTTAAAATGTGTTGGGGACTGCATTTGGTACTTTATGACCTCTATCATAATATATATGGAACACAATGAATTATGTAAATATATTCTCAATGAAGTACACTTTTGCAACGCAGTCTCACCATTTCTCTTATGTACACTATGGGATATTTTAGGACGCAGTGACCTATGAGGATGTGCATGTGAACTTTACTCATGAAGAGTGGGCTTTGCTGGATCCTTCCCAGAAGAGTCTCTACAAAGATGTGATGCTGGAGACCTATTGGAACCTCACTTCTATAGGTAGGAATGTGAACTTTCTCTCAGTTTTTAACTAAAGGGGAGATTGTTGCTCTTCTGTGATTTTGAATGTGAAAGAGGTAAAATCTAGTGAATAAATCAGGAATTGTTCAACGATTCACAGAAGATTTCAATTGTGCCTAATTTCCAGTAATATATCACATACATTTTTTTGGTACTGTATTTTAGGTTACAAATGGGAAGACGACAATATTGAAGAACATAGTCAAAGTTCTAGAAGACATGGAAGGTAATTTTCATGTGCAAACTGATACATATATACCTTGGGATAAATGTTGCTATACCCTGAACTTTAAAGAAAAGCATCAGGGTAAATTAACACAGCTATGTGATGGTTTAATTCTCATAACATCATATACTCCAATGTCAGGAGTATGGAAAGCATTGCTTTAAGGACAAGAAATGGGAACAATGCCATAACAGATGTCACAGTTTCAATCAGTTGTAGAATAACTATGCCCTTCAATAATTGATAAGGGAATTAGAGTATCTCCAAGATTTTTTATAAGTAAATATTCCATATTGAAGCTAGTGTTCATATACTGTAGTAAGTGATTATTTACCATAGTTTAGTGAGAGGAGCACTTTGTGAGAGACAAGGACTTCATCTTGTAGAGACCTGAGTCTATATACCATGTCTTTGAGGCACAAAATGTTAGACTATATGAATGTAAAGTAAAAACCTTTTATTTGTTATTCTTCCTTTAATAGGCATATCATTTGCCACTCTGGATACAAGCCATGTGAGTATCTGGGAGATGGAAAGAATTATACCTCTGTTTTTTCCAGAACAGTCAGAAGATATGTTGTAGTCCCCACAGTAAGCAGACATGATGACTGTGATACCAGTTTGTGCTCTCACTTTGAAGAACAACCTTATGAGAACAAGGATGATGGAAATTCTTCTGTCTCTACTGGTTCACTTTGCACAAGTAGTGTGACTCACAGTATAAGAAAATGGTATGCATGCAATCACTGTGCTGAAACTCTGAGTTCTTCCAGTTCTTTTCAAAGATGTGAAAAAGCTCATTTGGGAAGAGGAAGTGATAATCTTGAGTCTTGTATTAAGGACTTTAGCTATCACAGGTATCTTCAAACACACAAAATAACCAATAATGAAGAGGATCTCTATGAATGTAATCAACATGATGAATCCTTTAAATATGATTCCTTTTTTAAAGTACACCAAAGAACTCATTTGGAAGAAAAACCCTATGAATATAATCAAAGTGATGAAGTCTCTACAAGTCACAATATTTATCAAGTACATAGAACTCATTCTGGAGTAAAAAAATATGAATATCACCAATGCGATAAAGCCTTTGCAACTCCCAGTTATCTTCAAATATATAAAAGAATTCTTACTGGAGAGAAACCCTATGAATGTACTCAATGTGATAAAGCCTTTGCATGTTCCAGTTATCTTCAAATACATAAAAGAAGTCATACTGGAGAGAAACCCTATGAATGTAATCAATGTGGTAAAGCCTTTACACAGAAGAGTCATCTTCACCGGCATGAAAGGATTCATACTGGAGAGAAACCCTATGAATGTAATCATTGTGGTAAAGCCTTTGCACACAAGTATAAGCTTCTCATTCATGAAAGAATTCATACTGGAGAGAAACCCTATGAATGTAGTCAATGTGGTAAAGCCTTTGCAGAGAAATGCAATCTTCTCAGTCATGAAAGAAGTCATACTGGAGAGAAACCCTATCAGTGTAATCAATGTGGTAAAGCCTTTGCACAGAAGAGTGATCTTCGCAGCCATGAAAGAATTCATTCTGGAGAGAAACCCTATAAATGTAATCAATGCAGTAAAGCCTTTACACAAAAGGGTAATCTTCGAAGTCATGAAAGGATTCATACTGGAGAGAAACCCTATGAATGTACTCAGTGTGGTAAAACATTTGCACAGAAGAGTAATCTTCTCAGTCATGAAAGAAGACATAGTGGAGAGAATCCCTATCTATGTAATCAACATGCTAAATCCTTTGCACTGGAGGAGAATTTTCTCATCCATAAAAGAAGCCATACAGGAGAGAAAGCCTTTGAATGTAAGCAATGTGGTAAAGCCTTTGCAAAGAAGAGTCATCTTCTTATTCATGAAAAAATTCATACTGGGGAGAAACCCTATGAATGTAATCAGTGTGGTAAAGCCTTTGCATGTAGCAGCAATCGTCACAGGCATGAAAGATGTCATACTGGAGAGAAACCCTATGAATGTAACCAGTGTGGTAAAGCTTTTGCACGTAAAGGTCATCTTCGGAGTCATGAAAGATGTCATACTAGACAGAAACCCTATGGATATAATCAGTGTGGCAGAGACTTTACATGTAGCAGTCCCCTTCAAATAAAAGAAAGAACTCATAATGGAGACAAACCCTATGAATGTATTCAGTGTGAAAAAGACTTTGTATAGAACAATCATCTTCACAATCCTGAAAGAAATCATACTTGCAAAAACCCAATGAATGTAACCTGTGTGGTAAAGTCTTTCCATGTTGCATTGTCCTTCAAAATCATGAAAACTTTCACACTGGTGAGAATCCCCATGAACCTAATAAGTGAGGTTAGGCCTTGCAGTCCACATACATTTTCCCAACCAAGCTATCTCATTGGTGCTTGAGTAAGGTTAATAGAGCTACTCCTTAGTTAAAATCTTGTCTCTTTTTCTAGTAAACATTGTAGTTCAAGAGTAACAGAAAAACATGATAATTTGAATAATAAAATGTTTTGCGAATAAAAGTAATATACTGTCATCCATTACTTTTGGGTCATGTTACTTTATTCTGTGGACTAAATACATAGATAGATAGATAGATAGATAGATAGATAGATAGATAGATAGATAGATAGATAGGTAGGTAGGTAGGTAGGTAGGTAGGTAGGTAGGTAGGTAGGTAGGTAGATGGGTAGATAGGTAGATAGGTAGATAGATATAGATATATATTTAAGTTAAAAACAATCTTATTTTACATATCCCAGTTCCCTCTCCCTGCCATCCTCCCATGTCCCCCACCTACCCCTCATCCCATCCACTCCCCAGGGAGGGTAAGGTCTTCTATGGGGGATCATCAGAGTCTGTCACATAGTTTGGGGCAGGGCCTAGGCCCTCCCCCTTGTATCTAGGCTGAGAGAGTATTCCTCCATGGGGAATGGGCTCCCAAAGTCTATTCGTGCACTAGGGCTTAATACTGGTTCCACTGCCAGACATACCTTAATAGAGGAAGCCATTATAGGTTTAAAGAGAAATCTGACACTAGGGAAATGTCCAAAGATACACAAGGATGAGCCCCAACTAAGAATCTAAGTAATAGTGGAGAGGCTACCTTAAATGCCCTTCCCCTATAATGAGATTGATAACTACCTTATATGCCATCCTAGAGCCTTCATCCAGTAGCTGATGGAAGTAGCTGAGATCCACAGCTAAGCACTGAGTCCTGGAATCCAGTTTTATAGAGGGAAGAGTGATGAGCAAAGTGGTCAAGACCATGATGGGGAAACCCACAGAAATAGCTGACCTGAGCAAGTGGATGTCAGTTAAATACTTGTTCTTATCATATTGTCAGAAACACAGGTGAATGGCAGAGAATTTTATAAGTAAATGTGATTGCTGCTAAACCTGATTACCTGATACTCAGTTCCAGGATAGCCTTAGGGATGTAGAGAGATCTTTTCTCAAAAAATTAAAAAATGGGATCTGGAACGATGGTTGCATTTCCACAGCAACCAGGATCAATTCTCAGCACCCACATGGAACTTCACAACGTCTCTTAAGTCCAGTTCTTGGGGATCCAATACCCCCATACAGACATACATTCAGTCAAAACCCTTTTCCTTGTAAAAAGAAAAATAATCATTTTTAATAATATGTTCACATTGTGAATCTTTCTCTAGCATAATGTGGACTCACTTCTACTCAGCTAAGTCCTTTGTTGGGGTCGTTCACATCAAGAGAGTTGTGTTAACAGTCAAAAGAAGCAACGTCCATTCACAAAAGGATGGAAATCCACTCAGTCCTTCACTGAACAAGTAGCAAGGACTTCCATCACCTGCAAATGATGGAACGCAGAAGGAATAGAGGTAGGGGCTTCTTCATTTTCCGGGAGCCACAGAGTTGTCTCAGCACTGCTGCTGTTGGGCATCCAAGTTTGGTTCCTAGAACCTGCATCAGGTAGCTGGAAATTCTGGTTAAGGAGGTCTGATGTGCTTTTACACCTTCCTTGGGCACCATGTATGTTAATGGACTTAAGACAGATATATACATATACATATATCTTCATGTGTGTGTGATAGAGAAGAGAGGAATTCCTTATTTTAAAAAGAGCTTTCTTCATGTACATTTTTCATTTATTTTCATTTATTTATTTATTTTGGATAGGGTTTCTCTATAGCTTTGCAGCCTGTCCTGGAACTGCTCTTTAGATCAGGCTGGCCTTGAACTCACAGAGATCCACCTGCCTTTGCCTTCCAAGTGCAGGGATTAAAGGAATGCACCACCACCACCTGGCATATTTTTTTCTTAAAATTAAATTACTTTTGTTTATGTGTATATTGGAACACTGTCCTGAATGAAATCATATGAGAAGAACTTTCAGAGCTTGTGTATACACTTAAAGAAAACAGGACAAGGCAATTGTGACTTAAGTTTCTTCAAAACAGAATTGTTCTTGAGATGTGTTTTCATATTCCTCATAACATAGCAGGAGTGAGTTCACTTCATATTCCCCATTATTGTTGTTTTATTCAATTAAAGTGTACCTTTTAGGCCGGGCGTTGGTGGCGCATGCCTTTAATCCCAGCACTCGGGAGGCAGAGGCAGGCGGATCTCTGTGAGTTCGAGGCCAGCCTGGTCTACAAGAGCTAGTTCCAGGACAGCCTCCAAAGCCACAAAGAAACCCTGTCTCGAAAAACCAAAAAAATAAAATAAAATAAAGTGTACCTTTTATGTCTTAATGGAAAAATAATGTTTGTCCCATGTGGCTTGTTTTTGTTATTGTATACAGTTTAGACACACTAGGACTTGATTCACATAACCTTTATTAACTCTCAGAGTATAAATTATCTGGGGCTCAGAGTAAAGTAGGTCTAGAATGAGTCTTTAATATGCCTCATTTATCAGCTCAGTTCTCCCTGAGCCCTCCACCTCGTCAGTGGTGACAAGTGGCTCGTGAACAAGAAATTGGCTAGAAGATGAGTGAGTGAGGACCCTCAGAGAAGGAGGTGCGTGAGAATAATGGTGTAGGAACCGAGTCCAGTGGTGGCTGGCATGCAGATATTTCTTCTAATGTGAAGGACAATTCATTGCACTGTCCCCTCACACCACCAAAGAAGAAGCCCAATGTTTAGTGTGCCTGTTTGGATTTTGGAGACAGCACATTGTTCTCTTGGGTGTGTTATTTTGGTTCATATACCAAGTGACGTAGAAATCCCCTAGTTTTGTGTCCTGGAGCAGGAGGCTCTACAATAAGTGCAGGTATCTGTACTTGGCTGACACTCTGATGGTGATGCCAAGTGGCGGTGGCAGATAGGGACTCTCTTAGGAACCTTCACTGGTCCCCTGTGATTGTATCAAAGATGACATCTTTGGATTCTTGGGGCAAGGCTCTACAACCACCTGCAGACAAGTATTCTTGCTTTTAGAAATAGCTATTGGCCTTATTGGAAAGTGAACATTCGAAAATGGGCCTCTAAATTACATACAACCTAATCTGCATTCCCATCATGACTTGGGTGTTTTTTTGACCCATCATGTCACAAAAATGAAAGTTCACAACAGCAATCTATTATCAAATGGAAGTGATATATTTGTGATTTGCCAGAGAATGTCCTGAAGGAACAAGCTGCCAATTACCTATGGACACAGGAAGGTGGGTGGTTCCCAGGGGGTTATGCATGAGGGAGGGCAGATGTTGGGGTGTTGCTGTGAGTACAGAAACAGAGGCTAGGAAGACTTGGGTTGGAAGCTGGGGACGGGAAGAGAGAGAGGCTCCATGTGGTTGGAGACCTGGATGAAGGTTGAGGTCTGAGGACAGGTGGGGAAGCATTTGAACAGGGTTGGTTGGGGCATTCATCATGGTGGTTAGAGCCAGTGCTGGCATTGGCAAGTGGTTAGAGCCACACATACGGTGAACCCATTAGTGGCAGGGCAGAGGCTGGGACAGGGAAAGGAATTGAAAATATAAGTGAAGGAGCCAAGACACTTGAGTTGGGCTTGATAACTTTTACCAGGTCTGTCAGTGCCCGGCCACCCTGACTTGCTAGTGTTTCACACAGGCAGCCTGTGTATCGCAACACTCCCACAGACCCAAACACTCATGAAGACTTTCCCAAACACAGGCAAAGATGGCAGCCATCTCTCACAATGCATAGTCAAAGTCAGCAAAATGGAGCAGGCAATGTTGCTTGCTCCCAATCCTACTTATCTAAGTTTGCTTCACACATGGTGGAAAGTTAGAGCCAATTTTCAAGTTGTCTTCTGCCTGCCACCTGTGCGAAGTGGTGTCTGTGCACCCACTTGCAGATACAAAAGAAATAAAATGTGATAAATAATTTACAAGTATGTAATTACACAAGCATGCATAGAGATTCTCTTCTATTTGGGAGGTGGTGGGGACCTTGATCTGCCTGGGATACAAGTAAGGGCAGGAGCACATGATCTGGGCATCCTGTCAGACCACAAAAACCAACTGCAGAGGCAGCTGGTGGACCCGGGGTCAAGCCATGAGAGGACAAAAGAGAGTTCTTCCACGAGTGACTCCTGCCATAGGCTCTCGTGAGTACAGGTATCTGTCTGCATTTCTGTCCACACACAAGGCACTATCCATTCAGCAAGAAGTGGTGGTTGGATTCCCTAGAACGTTGAAGTTGCAGGTGTGAGCTGCCATGTAGCTGCTGCAAACAGACTCTTCACTGCAAGAGGAACTTCCAGAGTCCAGCTCCATCAGGGTGCAAGTCCCAAAAAGGATGCGTGAAGTCAGCAAAAGGAGACTGACAGGATCTGAGAGTGAATCAGGATAACTGGTGTTTTATTGAAAAAGGGCTACACACCTTTTATACTCTATGATTGGAAAATTGTTTAGCCACAGGCAAGACTGAAAGTAGATTTAGTGATTCTGGGATGAAAGCAGTCATCAACCTTATCACAGCACTTGTCCTGAAGCAAAAGCAGTAAGTTCAGCAAGTATCTGAATGCCCATCTGATGTGAGCCCATCCATGCTGTGCCTTCATCCTTGGGACCATTGTCTATGCTTGGTATAATTGGGGTCACAATGCAGATTCTTCTGTGGGAGTAGGCAGAGTTATCTCGCTATATGGTTCCATGGTAGTAGGGATTTTTCCAAAGAATTACTTTGTTTAAAGAGACTGCCATTTTATAATCCTTATTCTCCACTGAAGCCCACACAAAATTTCCTGAAGGAAAGGCATAGAGAAACTCCCATAACACATGGTGAGAACTATTTTAAAAATGGAAGTAAAAAGATGCTGGAGAGTTGCAGTCTACAATGTTGAGCTGCTGGAACCTTGTCAAGCAGTCTGAGAAGTCACTGTGTGGCCCTCGCCAAGTACTAAACTAGGAAAGCCATCTTGTATCTCTATTTCTTTTAAGACTTGATTTATTATTCTTGTGTTTGTGAATATGCATACATAGTATAATTCTAAATCAGATGACAGTTGTGTGGTGCAGTCCGCTCCTCCTACCATGTGGGTCATAAGAAGCAAACCATGTCTGTATGGAGAGATTTTATGTATCCATAGCGCTGAC